ACGAGGAGAACTGACAACGTCCCAAACTTTGAAAATCACTCATTAACGAGATAAACTGGCTTTTCGTGCGCGACTCTCTGCGCAAATTTAAGCGCAGTTTCTCGTTTTTATTTAACTCCAACAGCTTTCCTAAACTTCTGAAACTCTATTCTGGTCAAATAAGAGGTTAACTGAGGAATTTTGTCTTGAATCCTGGCGAAAATTTCACAGAAACCTTCTTTTTAACGTGAAAAAGGCCATGAAAACGCAAATTCTAGGTTTCGCTAAGATAAGCTAAAGATATTACTCCCTATACTTGTTTCATTAACATTCGTTCCGATGTAGTCAGAATAATAACATCCGGGGCTTCGCCCCGAATGACTTCTGTTTTTTTTTCCAGGTGAAGGTTGTGTTCCCTCATAGCTCTCAAAGTGAAGGTTACCAGAGTACGTGGCTCTATGTATCGAGGGTATGAGTACAGCTAACCTCGCTGTGATTGTTCTTTTGATGTATGTGTGATACAAACATTGAGGTTATGTAGCGTTGTCGTGGTAGGAAGACTGGTGAGATCGTTTCGATAGGTAGCTCTGCGTTCAGAATTCTTCCTTTTGATTTCCACAATGGTTCCTACTTGTTGTGAAAAAGACAGTAAAAGAGACTCAAATGTTGTTTCGTCTCTTCTGATGGTGGATACTGCAAATGTGCAAATCAGAAAATAATCCTTTCTGCACTTTTGTATAGTAACAAACAGCTGTTACTAAAGATCTTGTCTGTTCTTTTTTTCTTCTTCATGACAAAGAGTGACACTTTTTGCATCGTACGAAATTGTCACGTCCAAAAACTGAATCTTCCCACAGTAATGATTACATCGATTGCGGTGACGTCGCGACTTCACTTTCTTGCGAGAGGCAGATTTTCTCAATCGATCATCGGTGATATCGACTGGTTACTAGTCTTCAGGTTGACAGAAAATTTGAACCTTTCCACCAGAGATCAAATGACCTTAGATCCGTGATATTTGCACATCTGCTTCTGACATCAGCAGGGTTTGTCTCGCCAGAAATGTATTGAAGTTGAGCATTCGGAGCATTTTCTCGTCTCGTTGTAACACGATTCTAAATGAAGGCAGGCAAACGTTTGTGCTTTTGATGCACATAAGCGCAATACTGCTGTCGGACCATATGACCGACTTTTAAAACTCGATTTCGTCTGCGTAGCTGTTGCGTATGTGCTTTAGAAGCTGTGATCCAAAAGCAATGACTGAAAGTTCTAATCTGGGGATAGAGATGGACCTTTTTGAAGGCCCTACTCTGCTTTTTGACATCAAAATTAAGCTTCTCTGCTTTCCTTCTTGAATTAGATACGCTGCTGCACAGTACCCCATGCTGGAGGCATCGGTGAGAACATGCAACTGGAAGGATGACTTATGTAATTCACTCACGATCATGTCGAGAAGATCGGGATTGTCCATTTCGCAGTGACTGATTTCCACAATTCAGTTACATCGTCAGAGTCTAAGCAAAGATTTCCTTTACACAATGATTGGAGGAAGACTTTGTTTCTGAAGAAAACGGAGAAAACCCATTCCATTGGAAACTTTGCGCTTTGTCCATATGATATCTTCTGACGGCGTCGTTGGTAGTCGTACAGACAAGGTATCTTTAGCTGTGTCCCGTGAGATTCCCAAAATTTTGTTTCCCGTCTTCCTTCTCTTTTAGAAACTGATTGAGCGCTTCGGAGTTACTGATAAACTGACCTAAGTTCATGTCTGCTTTTTGGAAAAGCTGCTTAGAGTCCTCGTAAAAGTTCTCCCCTTCCTCAACCTTCCACTCCATGGAAGATTTTGTCGACGTATGTATTTTTCAAAATATTTTGCAACAACGGTATATCGGCAATCCGCAGGTGGTACTAAATTGTTCCTGCAAGCTCAAAATCTGTAAGTAACTATATTTTTAGGTGTCAATGGTCCTTCTGAATCTTTCACCCAGAGGAAACGCCTAAAGTTCCTACTTTCTTCATTCAATTCTACCATAAGAAATATGCTTTTTCAATGTCGCTGTAGATAAGAATCTTCGTTAGTCGTATTCGGAATAAAATTTTTGTACTGTCAGGAAGAAACACTGGGCCTTGCAGAGTAGATCACTCAAGCTTGGACTTCCTTTCGATTTGATCGAATCGTCATAAGCGCATCGTAGCTTAACGCTTGTTTTTCCTCCGAAATCACGGCATGGTGCGAGGGGTAATGACATAGTTTGGATAGTTTTGGCTCGGCCACTTCTTCAATAATCCCTTGTTCTTGTATCAAGGCGTGATATCTATTCAGCGTTTCGGGACATTGCTGCAAGTGCTTCATATAATGGAGTAGTCTGGCGTAAGCGAGCTGAATGTTGTTGGAAAATCTCTTTTATCTCTTTTGAATGGGAGTTGCACAACGTCGACCCTCGATCTCGTCAAAGTAGATCGTTTCGTTGATTCTCAGGCAGCATTTATTGTCATCCTTACTGTAGGAGTCATGCACATCATCATGCAGCCAAAGCTTCGTTACCAGCTTATCAAAATTTTCTTATTGAGATTCGCTTGCACTTAAGCGATGCTCCATGTTCTTGCTTTGCCACAACGTTTTTCCAGTGATAATGTCCCACAAAAGAGTGAATACCATGTACCTACCTAATCCTCACTGCGACGTCAGATGGAAGAACAGCAGTTGCTCTTATAGCTTACTTCATAACCCAACCGATGACAAAATTTGGGTGTTTTTGAGAAAGAAGAAAGTTATTGAATGAGTTGCAAAACTTAGTTTCCAACCCAATAAATTTCAAATTAGCGAAAAGTTGTTTTGGCATGCAAAAACCTCTACTACCGTTGATATATTAGGTTGGCACATAAGTTTTGCAACTTTTCTCGCAATTTTTTTCCGATTTTATGTAGCAATCTCATGTTATGTCATCATGTAGACCTTGATGTAAGCTGCAAGTCTGCGCAAACCGTTTGATTTTGATAACGTAGTACAAAAAATCTAAGCATTTTTTAAAAACTGCTGAAAATTGAGGTTTCACGGGGTTTCACGATTTTTTGGCAAACATGAAGTCTTACGAAACCTGAATTGAACATATCAAGAAGCAATTACAAGCAGCATGTAGCTAAAAGTGGACAGATTAAAACCTGTAAAAAAGAAATGAAATTTAAACACAAATCAAGGTGGGGCGCCTTTGGGAAGTTGAACAGTCAAATCCGTTAAGTTTTGAAGGCAATTTGTCAATAAGTAAACTGCGAAAAGTCAGAATTCGCTATAACTGTGCACTATAGGGTAATCCTATGCGAAAAACACGAATATCATAATCAGTTGTCGCTAAAATAAAATTCATCTTTTGATTTCACGAACGAGGCCTTTTCATGCGAAACGGATCTCATTTTTGTGATCAGCATGTAAAATAAGCCCTACAGGACAAGTTTCAGCAAAATCTGATGCATACTAAAATCTTTCCCATAGTACCGTAAACCTACCTTTATCTCCACATAAGATGGTAAAATTCGGCAAAAATGTGTGCATTAGAAGCTTACATCATATTCCTCATATTGCCAAAAAATGAATGCGCTACGTTCAAATAGACAAAAGTTATATAAAAAGTTGCATCACTTATGTGCCAACCTAATACTATTATATTAGGTTGTCCCAAAAGTTCGTTCGCACCATTTTCAAAAATTCATAACTCTTCAATTCTCGACGAATTTGTAGGAACAAAATTTTGCATAGGAGAGGAACTCGTGCTCTTTGCATCTGTACCTGAACTATTCGTTAACGTATATTAATGAAGGAGATAGAAGCTCAAAACCAAAATCACCCAAAATTTTGATTTTTCGTATAGGGTCATAAAAAATCGGAAACTTGCAACAAAAATCGGAGCAGTCGATATTGTAGGTTATTTCACCAGCTCTTTCTAACAGTGTAAAGTTTGCGCCGATTGAGCGTCTCCATGAAAAGTTATGATTTTCCCTGAAAAATGCTAAAATAAATCAAATTCGCCCTTTTGTATTGCTTACTCGAAAATCATAACTTTTGATAGAGACGCTCAATCGGTGCAAACTTTGCATCATTAGAAAGAGCTGGTAAAAGAACCTGCAATACTGACTGCTCCGATTTTTCTTGCAAGTCTCCGATTTTTTATGATCCTACACAGTTTTTTTTTCCTACACTAATTTTCTTCTATCGCTCCTATCTATGCAACAAATGATCATTAGCAAGCAGCTAAGATGACATTATGAAGAGCATGAGTTACTCTTTCATAGAAAAATAGATGCAGCTAAATTGGCTGGAAAAACAGAAGTTATGAATTTTTGAAATGGGGAAAGAAATTTCGGTTCAACCTAATATATTGGGTTCTATCACTGAGATGCATGACAAATGTTGTAAGTTGTTCATCCCCTGTCTCTCACCATGAATTCGTGGAATTAAACGAGCGTTTCAAAGCCTATATCTGAATCAACGTTTGAAATTAAAGGTAAGCTGTAGTAGGCAGGACTTCCTGATTATACTAGACAGAACGTACATAAGGCCTTATGAAGAAATATGTACATAGCATCTTGCTTTTATTGTTGATTTTTTTTGGAGTGGACTTCCGAAAACAAACTAAAGAAAGGCCTTAATTGTTACAAATCATTTTTTTGGCATTTCGAATAATATTGAGTCTCTGTGGATAGGCGTTGGGAAGAGCGTCAAGATAATGACTTGTAGTGATGAACAACATCTACTTGGAATTGCTCTGCTACAAAAATCAGAGTGAGCAATGACCCGTTAATTATTCTGAAACTAGGAGACATTTGCATAGTAGGGTAGTTCCAAAAGGAAAACTTATAAAACATAAGTTTACCCCGGCAACCTATAATGACCAAGCGAAGCTCCGGAGCAGAGGTGACTAGTTTCAATACATGAAGGCAATCTTATGCTTCATTCACTTGTAAACAAGGACAATTTATAATAATCCGATGCCTCTCAACAAGAAATGTAGGGAATTTGGTAATTTGATAACGGTGATTGAAAGATGCTCTAAGTCGCAAAAAATTTATTGCATAATTCGAAGATACATAAATATTAATTTTCTGAGATTTAAAGCTATTTGTTCAAACATCAAGGTTTTCTTCCCCGTACTTTTTGTTCAAGAACTCAAAAACGTCTTCTAGTGAACCCTGTAGTAAAGAAAAGTCACTGAGAGAGAGTGAGGTTGCCATCGTTTGTGCTTTTTCGTAGAGTTCCGAAAGCTTGTCCCCTTCTCTTCGTGGAATCTGCAAGAATACAGATTTTAGTCTTTTTAAACAAGATAAGGCTTGCACAGGTGTGCAACAAGCTCAAACTTCTTTATCTTCAAAACTTCAAAGTTCTAATCGACCAATGATGATAAAGTGAGCTCATTAGCTCGAAAAGCATTGCTGTGAAAAGTTTGAAACATTCTTTTTCTGGACTTGAAATGTATGGAATTTAAAAAGTGTAAAAACTTATTATCAGTCTGCGCATACCGTTGCCCTTCAGTACAACGATAATTTGTGTCATGCCCATAAAAGCGTCTTTTTTTTGCTAACGAGCAACTTAAACTGCAACACAGTAGTCGCAAGTTAAAGATGTTATGGTTGCCTGATTCGGATAGGATTTGGATCGAGCCCAAATTGATCGCATCAGGATCAAGCAGCGCTGATGCAGAAGTCTCTGCGACAAACGCGGAAGCGATTGCGTGGGGCATCCTTTGGTCCACTACGAGTGACGGAAGGGCGCTTTGATCGCTAATTAAGCCTTGGGATGATTATAAAGCATGCTCACGAGAGAGGTAAAGGTTTGGTTAGTGATCGAAGCCTCGCTTACCATCCGCCACCTAAGTCAACAAATGGTAAGCAGTGTATGAGGCAGGATCACGATCGCGTCCTGAGGCTGTAGAAATCAATCTTTCTAGATAAGCGTGCATCTAACTTAGTTTGGCCTTTTGAAAGAAGTTTGGAAATCAGCCTGAAAACGCTGGTTTACTCATACGTTATTAACTGCAAAGTTTTGCTTTGGAGCGAGATATGAGCTCAGGGAGCTCAATACGAACGGTCTGATCCTCAAATATCAAATAAGTCAAATCAAAACCCCCCAAAAAATTCTTGCAACAAATGTAAAGTCTCAGTCGTTGTTTATTGAGTAAAGTGTGAGATTTGCCAATATATCCGAACACTTAATCTGATCAGTTAGACGCGCTATTTCGAATTTTCACATGATCCGAAAGCCAGGAGAGATCGGAGAAGTCAGCATTGCTGACATAAGAGTCTCAATTACATATCAAGCGATTTCATAGTCTCGCAATTCTGAGACAGCTGCTACTACGAACCCATTGTTTCGATCATCCGGTCGTGGTAGTCTTTCACCATAATAATCATCAGAGACGAAATGCAAGATGACTGTCGTAACAGTTGCTATGTCACAAGAATCGCGAGGCGATGGCTCGCGTTATGTACGTTTGCCTCTACTGTTGAATAAAGCTTTTGCACGGTTGCTTTTCTGATCGGGTTACGATCTCAAGGGAAATCTTTACATGAACGGGCGATTGATAGTACCGATCCTGATTTAAACCCGGCCCAAAAGAGAATGCATTCGGATTTTTGGCAACTATGACGCCATTACAACGCTGTAAATTCTGGAAGACTTGTGCTCGCAACTGCATTTTGTAGAAGCTGGAAAATTATATTATTTTGTACACTAACCTTGAATTTGAGGTTCAATGTATCCTCTTGTTTTGTGACCAGCTCGCTTGATGGGAATGTAGATAGAACCGCGTTTATTACCTGAACTCCTATTATCAACTATGCATTTGATTTAATATATACCTTTTTTCTGTCTTCAAGTGATTTTAAAATTGTGAGAAGGAAGTAGTTGTTGGCATACCTGAAGATCGCGAAACAAAATGATAATTTATAATCGACCACAAATACATGAAAATCATCTGTTGCTGACTTTGATTTGAGCGTCTGACTTGCTCCTATCGCCACAAACCTCCCCTTAACGAGTACACCTAAGCGCGAACAAAGAGCCTCACATTCCTCCATCGAGTGTGAAGAGAGCACTAAGGCTCTGCCTTTTGAACGCATCTGTTTTAGCAGCTTCCAAATATGACGTCGTGTCTAAAATTGACTAAGATTAACTGAAAGAGCTCATGATTTTGTTTAAAAAAAGGGAGAACCTTTGGATCAATTCCTGCTGTCGGTTCGTCAAGTATCACAAGTTTCGATGGATTCAGCAGCGCGATTCCTATGTTAACTCTTCTCCTTTGCCCACCGCTAAAGTAGGAGTAGCAAAGACAAAGGGACTTAATTAGACGCTAATTATGAACCAAACAGATTTGAACTTTTAACAGAAACTGATCCCAAAACTGCCCAACTTTTCTACGGAACGCTTCTTGGAAAAGGTTGTGACAAAGCAACAGAGACAAAAAATGCAAAACTTTTTGAAGTAGGTAAACATGTGATCCTTTGAGAAGTAAATGAACGCACTCGCGCTGCTGCGTGGTATCATGATGAAAATAAATAGTAACAAGTACAAAGGTAGTACTGACTTTACTCAGTGTTATATGGGGAATGAAGCGTAATGGTATGAGGCGCCCTTAAAATCAGTGCGTACAGAAGTTCAATCGCTGCTTTTGAGCAGACCAAACCCCTATTGGACGATAAATTAACAACAGAGTAAACAAGGAATGTTGAATACAGAAATGTACAGTTCAACGGGTGGTACCTCCACAACCATAAACTGATCCGCGTGCTGCATCAGAAAAGCGGTTGAAAACGTCAGCTTCTTCATCTACAATTCATCTATACAAGAATGACACTGTATCAAAATAGCTTTCGGTCATCAAGTCTAGACTGGGACGTAAGGGAGCTCATGCTATTTTTTTCTAAATTTGAGCATGTTGTTGTATGTGTGAGTAATATTTCATGAAAACCCAGTTCTTGGTGATATTATTTAAACCAACGTTTTTGTTTCTTCTATGTGGATTAAATCATAGGCAGTTTGATCTATACCACAATGCTTTAGAATGGCAGGAGGCAAAAGTTTCAATCTTCGAAAAACCAACTTTGGATTCAGACTACAGCAAGTTCGCACATTGGAAGTAAAAGGACGGTCATCGGATGTTCGTAGACCTATGACTTCTATGTGCGATCATACCACATAGAGCTGAGAAACAGTAGAAGATCACTACCGATAATGACATTCATTTTGGATCTTTCGCGCTAAGATCCGCACCTTACAAAAAAATGGTTAGAAGTTAAGATGACCAATCTAGACTGGCTGATGCAAATCTGTCTAAATGGAAGAGGTCTTTGCAGACGAAGTTAGAAGCGCTTTTATTGCAAGAGCATCGCACATAGAAATTGCGAGACTGGGAACATTGTCGCCTTTTTAGCTCATTTTAGGCGCGAGCTGCATAGGTAACCTTATCTGCCAGTGGCCGTCCCAGGATTTCCCAAGATCTTTTGCGATGTTTCCCAGAATTTTTGCGAGTCCAAAAAAACCTTTTTAAAATTAATATGAGTTTATAAATTTTTTTCAAAAATTGGGATTATTTACAAATGTAAATAACTCGCTTGTACATTTAATTAACCCATGTAAGTAACTTTCATACATTTTGTGGCCCATGGGGGCCTGTCTCGGCCCGCCACTGCTATGTATTTTAGTTTATGGCCCTGTCGAGAAATAATGATTTGGTATGGAAGTGAGGAGAGCTAAATTCGTTAATTCGAAAAAAGGCCTATGAAAAGCTGAAAAATTACGGTTATAGTTCTAAGGGCTTGTACTATACAGGGTGTCCCAAAAAAATGTTAACACCGTTTGATCGTTAATAACTCCCTTGCTTTCAAGTCTTTCGCTGAGCTTTAGGTACCGTTTTGTAGAGCGAGGATAAACTTAGATTTGCAGTGTCGAGCGAATCATCTAACTCTCCTCGTTACTGTAGAATTACGGTAGGAAATTTGACAAGGATTTTAGGCCATTGAAGCCGATTTTCTGTTCGAAACAGAGCCAAACAGGCTAAGATCTCTTTTACTATGGTAATGAAAGCCGCTGATTTTGGATATGAAATTTTCACTTCATTATGATACTTCTTTTCAAAGTTATTCTAGGTAAAGTATAATAACTGACTTCCCAGCATGTGTCAAAAATGTGATTACACCGTCAAAAAAGCTGAAAACACTCGTAAAAAGTTGTGTAGTAAAATCAGGGTGCAAAAAAACCCTAGTACGCGATTTTTCAGATTTTTTGAATAAAATTTTGTCAGAGGGCTTATCTCACGACGGTTCCACATGCTGGAATTTTCTACTGTAATTCTACAGTAACGAGGAGCGTTGGATGATTCACTCGATACTGTAAATCTAAGTTTATCCTCGCTCTACAAAATGGTACCTAAAGCTCAGCGAAAGACTTGAAAGCAAGGGAGTTATTAACGATCAAACAGTGTTAACATTTTTTTGGGACACCCTGTACAATTAAAAGAGTGGGAACGGCGTAGCTTCGTTTTTGTACAAGCATAAAAATCCTTGCTTTAGAGCAGAGTTAGTCTAGTGGTTAGTACTCTACGTAACGTTGGCGTGCTGAAGGTCACGTGTTCGATTCCGTCTTGAGCCTAATTTCTGCGACAAAATTCTGCTCACAATTCTAGCGTCAGGCTGCCCCTTCAAAAAAGGACATGCGACAAGGCGGCTGAGAAACACTTCGTCGCATCTACAATGCAGATATGTCTCATAAAGCATTTCGAGTAAAGGCTAGGGCGTCCCCCGGAGGCGACGCGCATTTGATACCGTCCCAGCAAGGTGAACGGGGACGGCTTGAGCGCTAGTTCACCAGAGGCAACGATCCAAGGCAACTCAGACTCTCCGTCTAGCTACCATCAATATGGGTGCACTCTGCATACAGGAAACGAAGTGGAGCGGGTCAAAATCACGCGACATCGGAGATGGATATAAGCTCCCCTACTACGGTGCTATCTGCACCAGAAACGGGGTTGAGATAGCTGTATCGGAGACAAGGAACAATATAGTTGATGTTGAGCGCCTAAGCGATCGTCTGATGACCATAAAGGTAGACACCGGAAACAATTTCCTACGAGTAGTCACTGCCTATGCGCTACAAGTCGGATGTAAGGATGATGAAAAGGACACGTTCTGGCAGGAGCTGGATGACCGCATCAGTTCAATTCCGCTGGAAGAGACACTCCTGCTAAGGGCTGACCTCAACGGACGTGTGGAAGGCGAGGAGAAACCGGAAAATGTTACGGAGGCCGCGGATACGGAACACGCAATGAAGAAAGTGAGCGTATTCTGGAATTTGCCTCAGCCCATGATCTGGTCCTGGCGAATACATACTACCTCAAGAAGAATGATCACCTCATTACTACGCGAGTGGCGACCGACGAACGCAGATAGACTTCTGGGCTATCCGGCAGTGTGGCCTTAAAAATGTAGAGAACTGCAAAGTCATTCTCGGTGAGAGCTGCATATCTCAACACAGACCACTGCCTCGATATCAAAATTCCAATGGATGGGCACACCAGAAATGATGTCCACGAAAGTCCCCGCGAAATGGGCTTTTCGTGCGAATAAAATGGACTTAGTCCATGCGGTGCGATAAGATATCGCATTCGCGAATCCATTCATTCCATACAAAACTTCTTCAGCAAACCTTTCTCCAACTTGTCTCAACCTGTTTACTCACACTTGCAAACTCATTTCCACTAGGTGGTCGGTACTGATCAGGCTTCCTAATTTACAATGTCAGTCACATAGATATTTTATTCTTTCACGCTTCGTAACACCACACAAAATATCATTTTATCGATGGCTATGCTCTAAATTACCTCTAAGAAAAAATTCATATAATATCCAAGCCTTTGCTTCTCGAGACTTCTACGGATCTACATGAAATCATATTCGTATGTAGAGCTCTCTGTAGAAAGCAAACTTTGGCTAGACCTGCACTGCAATCTGTGAATAAAAATGCTTATCTTGTAGAAACCTTGTACTACTTACTACACTACGACCCAAAAAGTTTTTTAAGCCATAAAAACTACGAATCTGCAAAAGATGACTTCGCAAAATTTCTACTTTAGCTCTTCTTTGTCTCTCAGCACTAATGTTTATATCTTTAAATAGTTGAATGTGTGGACTATTGCTAGTAGGAAATTTTTCGCAAAAATTTTCTTGCTAGCTAAAGCCATTTCAGTAATTCTTGCGACCAAACCCAAAATCGCGTTTGAAATGCCCTATTCAAGGTTCCGTTTTGCGAGATTAGTCAAAGAATAGAATAATATTGATACGCAAATTTATTTTCAAATTCAATTCTTAGTTTTGGGTGATGATTTGAAGAGTTAACAAACTTATTTGATTTACAAAGGAATTTTCGCATCGACCTGATATTTGGAAGCATTTGAGTTTGTCAGCGAAGATTTTGGTGAATTTAACCTTCCTCCATAATTTTTATAGCTTTGTATAAGTTTAGAAAGAAACACTTATTTCAGACTTCATAAAAGACATGAAACTTTTTCCACTCACTTGCTATCTTAAAATGTTCTAAGGAACACATTCTCAAAAAATCGCCATCAAAAATATGCAAAAAGGTCAAAAATGGGCTTAGTCCCAGCTCACCTTGCTGCTGGGCGTAAAATGGGCTTTCAAGCCCATTTAAAATGGAAATAAATCCCATTTTGCCCCATTTTGAATGGAGTTTTCGCATGATTCTTTCGCAAGCGAGAGCTCAAGTAGGGTTGAATCATTTTCATCACACCGCTTTGCCTCGTGATTGCAATGAGATAAAAATTTTTGGATAACGCTAGCGCAAGCAGATTCCGACCAATTTCTACCGCGAACGAATAAAATAAGGAATGGAAGTCCATTTTCCTCCATTATGGACTTTCGTGGATATCATTCCAGGAGAGCCACAGAGACCAGGACACGCATCAAATGGTGGAGATTGAATACAAGCAACGCAGCGAAACAAGCACTACTAACGACTCTACCAAGCCTGCAAGAGAACCTAGAGCAATCCTGGGCAAGCTAGAAAGATCACCTATACCTGATCCTGAACAGTACAAAGCCAGGAAAAGAAGGATCAATTGAGAAAAGTGGTGGTGGAATGACGAAGTCAAAGAGCTACAAAGGAGAAGAGGGATGCTTACAAGCGTGGCATAAGACGAAATTGGGGGACGATCGCTAGACATACCAACAAGCCAAACGTGCTGCGAAGGCTTCCGTAAAGAAGGCAAAACAGATGTACTTGAAAGAGCTCTCTCGCG